CGGCACGAAAAGTGCAAAAACGCATAATCGCACCGGCCAGCCTGGTGCGTTCCAGCCTGGGTTCTTATGTGTGACATAATTTTTTTACGACATATTTAATGTATTTGTGTTGAATAAAAAGTAAATTTTAACGCATGGAAACTGCTTCTCTTTGGGGAGCCAGTAAACCGGTAATCGCTCTAAGTGACGAAACGTATGTCAACATCGCCAAAAGGCTGAACATTAAGCGGTACAGTACAAGAAAGCAACTGGAAAGGGGCCAACAGCACAGATAAGGAATTACTCGATGGATCGTATGGGACCATCAAAAAATTTGTTACAGTTTTCTGTCATATTTATAAAAGTGCGAGAAAATGAACTTTCATGTGCGCATTTATAGTTGAAGATACTTACTTTTTCTTCGATATCGCGAATTCCGGTTTTCTGTGGACGCAGTGTGCTATCCTGAGTTATTTCTACTGAAAACAATACAGATTTCACCGTCAGAAAGCGAAGAAAAGAGAGCAGTAAAAAATGGTACAAGCAAATACACACAAGAATGCTCAGTTCAAACTCCAGCAACATCTTTTCTAAAATGGAAACTTCAAGAAAAATTCCGTTACAAACAAGTCAAAAGTCAAAAGCCTCTCCGTATTCGCACTCGCTGAAAAACAGAGTCTTTCGGTGAGTAACTAAAGTCGCCAACCACTGGTAAAGCTGTCGGTAATTTTCTCTTCCGAGGATTACTTCTAAGCAAACTGATGGCAACTTTGGCTCTTTGGCATATTTTGGTACCAATTTAACATCGAAACGAAAGAACAAAGTGTAGAGGAATTGGTTGTAAAAGAAGGAAATGTATTTTCTGTAACTTTCTGGAAAAACGTCTTTCTTTTTCTTTTTTAAAAAGCAATAAACAGCAAAAAAACAAAACATGAAAATTTCAGATCATTCTTAAAAAGTGGTATTTCCAAAAACAGGGGCTCCCTAGCGGTTCGACCCCTGCACAGTCAGTAGTTTACACTGGACATAAGAAATGTTTTTTCCAAACAAACCGCTTACCAATATTGCATGCCATCTGTGCCGCATCGAAAAGTGATGCTTTGATGGAGAAATGCTGAAAAATCCAAAATTTCAGAAAGCACTTCAGTAGCATTTCAAATTAATCTAAATGTTTGTAAAACTCTGTTTTTCCAATAAAACAGATGACAGAGAGGGGGATCAGGTCCGTTCCCGTTCGATATTTTGAAGAAATTGATGGTGGTGTGAAATTTGAGATAGTCAGCAGCCTTTCTTCGTGTAATCTCCGACTGGAGCCTTTGGCGCGCACACTTTAATAGCTCTGTGAATCGATTTAATTACTGAGTATGCAATAATTTTTCACGTTTCGGAAACAAACTGGTCATTTTAATAACTCCAGATCAAATTAGGAAATAATTTAACAAAACTAACCGAGTCATGTTCTTTCTTCTTTGATTTGCTGCTGCCGCTACCGCCATCAGATGTTTGCTTGCTGGACACCCTGACTTTAGCGGATTTCTAAATAGTGGCGCTGATTAGACCTCAAAAGCTTGGACAAAAGCAAAGCACAAATATACAGTGCAAAAAAGCCGATAAAAACTTTTCAGGCTGAACTGCTTGCTCCAGCCAGACAAATCCTCTCCCACAAGAACCATGGCATCAGTCGGTCAAAGTCGGTCAAAATCAACTTCATTCTTAAAATAAGCCTCTTTTATAATCCATTCTTAATGTTTCTAGACGGAAAAAAACCTCAGCATTGGTCTGGAAGTAGCAACATTTTCAAACGAGGTAGCAACGCTCAAAAAACACATTTCGTTGTATCTCAAAGTGCCTAAAACCTTGCCAAAGTGTTTCTACAAGTACAGCCACTGAGCTTATAATCTTTTTGGAGGACGAAAACAATGTAAGGATAGTCAGAAAATTAATCACCATTCGATGCTACACTGCTCAAAACAGTTGTGAAATGAAGGGTAAAAAATAGCACGGCTATTGCCTACAGCAATATCGATTCTGTGGTGAGTTATGACCGTTTCAAGTATCAAGTACAAATTTGTTTTTTTTTTCTTTGATATTTTTTATTTATCAATAGTTCAGTGCAATAAAAACTCTAATGCTGCCTAAAGGTCCTCAAGTTTGGATTATTAAACCAAATATAAAACTAAAATTCCAAGACATTAAATAAAGTAACTCTCTGGTTCGTTTCTGTTTGTGTGTGTGTGTGTTTTTTAAATAAAGCATTCCTTGTTAGTTTGAGTGAGTGCTTTCCGCAATCCCGTGGAAGCACCTCCCACCCTCCCTCTCCCCTCTCAGCCGCGCAGGCTTCCGTCCGTCCTTTACGAATTATTCTATCATGATTTTAAATAAAAACTACACTACATTATCACAAAGTATTAAAATATTAAGATTTAGAAATTGAATCTCGATGATGCTTGTTTTAAAAACAAGACTAGCCCAATTCTGAAAGAAGACTTACTTTCCTGGACAATTGATCCTTGACACCTGCAAATGACAAATTGCTACTCTGCACAATAAATAGGTGTGCAAATTGCTTAGCCAGAATTAGAATCCAAAAACTTTTCCCGCGAAAAAACTCTGACCTTTTTTCAAGCCTCATTAGGTTATTTATATCCAATAAAATTGAAAACTCAAGGACGTTAAGACCAAGGGCCGTAAAAAAGCGCTTTCATCTATATTTATTTATTTTGTAAATAAAACGTCGTTTCTTAATTTTCATAAAATGCTAGAAATCATTATTTCTTTAAATACACAGTGGGTTTCAGTCTCTAATATTTCCACTCTCACTAATACCACTATTAGATAATATCTACTCCGCGAATAGCAAGTTTATAATTCTACTTGACCTAAAAAGTAAATCAGAATCTCATATCAAATAAATATTTCACAAAATATCACAGCAATTATGCAAAAACCTCGCCCTTTTCAGAATTCAGAAACAAAGCAATTCGCTGAAAGCACAGTTTTTTGACAGCATCTTAACTGCCAACAACTTACAGATTCAAATTCCTTGATTTTCAAAATTTTCGTCAATTTTCAAACTCAAGTTTTGCAAAAAATGCGTTTCGCTTACTTGGGAAAATAAAAGAGCTTGTAGTTTCACCTATCTTTTGTTTTTTAGCACATTCAAAGCAACCTACTTTTTTCGGACTCAGTCTTTTTATTATCACCATTGCGTTCCTGAGAATCGGTCATTTTTAGTGAGTATCTATTCCCACTCCGTGCCTGAAATAACTGCAATTTTTGCAATTTAAATGCATCAGTTGAAATGTTTGTGAGAAAGAAGTTGAAAAACAGAAAGAGTTGATTAAAATGACACGAAAGCCAAGACCGTTTGGGTTAAATGTGTGTCTTGCTTTTATCACAGTGTTTCTTGCAATAAGTAGAGATGAGAACGTCTGTTTCAGTTGAAGTATACAGCTAGGGGATGAAACATGAAATGCTCTGTAACAGTTCCAATACGTTGGACTTCATATTACGCTGAATTTACGGGGTTCTGTTGTTTCTTTTTTACGCGTTTTGTGCTGTGTAACAGCAGTACAAAACGCATATTGTTACGGGGTTGTCTGTGTG